GAGAAATGATTGAGATGGAGACAAAGTGCAGTTTAAATTATGGGGGAATTAGGGGGTGTCCAGTATTCCTGTAAACTGTGAGATCACGAGTGAAGTCCTGCATGAGTATTTACTGTTACAGCAAATAGCTGTCTTTTGTTAAAGAATTACATATACAGTTCATTTTTTGAGGTTTCCAGGGGATCCTTACCTAATTCTGTCTACGAGAATAGACGGTTACAAAATTTTTCTAAGATAAGGATGTTAAGCCCTAAGTTAGAAACAGACCTAGCTGAGCATACAAATTAAAGATAAAATGTATAAAATGAGAACACTGAGTCTGTATACTGCTCTAATCTACTTCTTCTAAACACAGAGACATGTAGTCAGGAGTGAAGCAGAAATAGCCTTGAAGTCTAGGATAGTTCCAGCGGCACGTTATCTGCTGGACAGGCATTTTAATCAGCTTCTCCGCCAAGGACCCAAACCGAGCTTCTGCCTTTCAAAAAAGCTCAAGGCAATGGCCGGCAGCGGAGAAGAAACGTTGCTTTGCAAATGTCCTCTGACAATGCCCCCCTTGTTGGAAGCAGCTTCTATTCTGTGAACTAACATGTCCACAGATCCCTTCAAGGCAAAGCCCTGCAAAACCCCTGAAACTTTTCCACGTCTCTTAGCCTATTTCCCAACAGCTACTGTCAATGAAAGTATTCGTAATAGGCTTATTTGACTTTTACCTCTAAACATTTTATTTCTTGACTCAAGAATCAGGTTTGTGAGCAGGTGTTAGGAATATATTCACTCATTAAATATTTATTGAGTACCTACTGTTGAGGAGCTTTAAGTTTATTAATACACTGTATCTTGGGTAATTTAGTAGTCACTTATCATGCTCTTATATGGGCGGAGCTGGCCTCATAGCGGTGAGGCCTCATAGTGGTAAGTTGACTTACCTGGTTGGGTGAGAGCCAGTAGTTAAAATGACTTCACTCTTTTCTTTCTGATAGCAGTAGTACTTTGTCTGTGCCTGG